GAACTGCACCTGGATATTTTTCGATCTGTGTCTGCTGACACTACCGAATTCCCCTTTCAGGATGTTTGAAATGGGCCGAGCTATGGACGCAAAATCTTTAATGAAGCATCTATAGTAGCTGGCCAGGCCAAGGAATGATCTAACTTCGAACACATTTTTTGGGTTCAGGGAATTCCCTGAATGGCCTTGGTTTTTTCTGGGTCAGTGGTAGCCCCGTTGCTGGTGACTATAAAACCCAAGAAGCTAACGCTTTTTTTGAAGAATTTAGATTTCTCAGTTGATACCCTCATATTAGCATCGTAGAGGCTTTTGAGAACCCAATCTACGTGCTGGATGTGGGCGTTTTCGTCTTCTGAGAAGACGATAACGTCATCGACATAAACATAGCAAAATTTGCCTATTTGCTCTCGCAGTATGTCGTCTATCGTTCTTTGGAGAATGCTGGCAGCATTTTTTAGTCCAAATGGCATTCTGCGAAACTCGTACTTTCCTCCATTTACGGAAAAGGAAGTCTTTTCACGGTCGCGTTCTGCCAGCGTTATTTGGTGGTAGCCAGATTTTAAATCGAGCGTTGTGAAGTATTTCGCTCTGCCTAAATTCCCTAGTATCATAGAGATATTTGGCATTGGATAGCGATCAGGTATTGTCCTTTCGTTCAATTTGCGAAAGTCCAATCCGAGTCGCATTTTACGGCCGCCCGTTTCGTCGGTGCCCTTTTTGTCTACAACCCATATCGGGTTATTGTAGGGGGATCTCGACTTCTGGATTATGCCATTTTTAGCAGCTCTTGAATCTCGCCATTAACGAAATCGGCTGCGTCCATTGGGTATGGGTAGAGCTTGGCATAAATGGGCTCCTCATCAACAGTTCTGATGGTGGCTACCACCGATGTGTTGTAAGGTAAAGCCTCGTTGGGGTCCGCAAAGGCTTTTTTCCTGTCGCGGAGCATTGTTGAAAATTTCTTTCTGACCAAAGGTGGTGCATCTGAGCAATCCACTTCGGTGAAATTGACATCAGGGCACGGGTGGAAATCAATTTTCTCCTCTTTGTTGCCCCATTTGATGTGGCCGGAGGCCAGGCAAAGTGATGCTCCCGCCTGTTTAAGAAGGTCGAGGCCTACAATTGCATCAAAGGAAGATAAGTCGGGTAAGATGAAGAAGGTGGCCTTCAAATCAAAAAGTGACACGAAGCATTTCTTCGTGATTGTGGTGTTGCCGTGAATTGAGTGAATTTCGAAGGGGCTTTCTACCGGGACGCATTTCAATCCTTCAAACGGTCGGATGAAATTTTTCGAGGCGCCCGTGTCAACAAGCAGTTTCATATTTATCCCCGCTACTCTTCGTCTGATGACGGGCAGCAGGGATTTTCCTCTAAAAAATGGACTACGTCTGAATCGTATTCGCAAATAGCATGATCGTTGATATCTGCTACTGCGTTGGACGCAGTGTTGGCGTAAGATTTCCCTTCCTGATCTGAGCTTTGGGTGACGTGGTTTACCCTTTGCTGTTTTCTAGGAGCGCCTGTGCGCTCAGACGTTGCCGGTCTCCTATTCTGATAGGGTGGAGCTTGGGCAGGAATGCCAACTTTTGCAGAGGGGTCGACTTCCATCGGCTCCGGTCTATTCTGCCATTTGTTATTGTGCGGGTCAGAATGTACCTGCGCTTTAACTTGTTTGGTATAATGGGGATTTTTATTAATACCAAACTGGGGGGTCTGTCTGGGAAAAATTTCTATCCTGCTGGCGCTTTTGCTCCTTTGGACTCGTCTTACGGTCCCTATCCTCTAGACTCTTTGCAAACGATGTTGCGAACGTGTACCTTTCGTGGTTTGATTCCACTTCTTGCGCTAATGCCAATGCAGTCGGCATGTCCCTCGGCTTTGCCGAGAAGAGGACATCAGATAGGCTGCGTCTAAGGCCCGAAATAAATACGCGGAGCGCATCGTCCCGGAATTTATTACACAGAATTCTTGCCGCCGATGTCTCGTACGACATCGTGGCTTTATTTGTGAGTAAGGTGAGTTTTTTCTCAACCTCATCGTAATATTGCAGGAGTGTAAGGCTTGCCTGTCTGAGGGTGCCCATCTCCTGTTCAATTACGTGGATCTGCCGTTTGTCACTGTAAGTGAAATCCAGACGGTCTATGATCGCGTCAAAATTTAAAATTGTGCCAAAGGATGACAACACTGCGTCAGCAGGGCCTCTTATTTTACTTCTTATGATAATCACTGCCTGATAATGGCGTGAACTACCATTGTGTCGTCTAAATATGTGGTAGGCTGCGGTGGCGGCTTGCCTCCACGACACATATGCCTCCTGTGCCCCCGCAAACTCGGGTGGGCACTTGACAGCGTCCAGGGGCTCGCTGCATTGAACTGTGTCATTAATTTCTATGGCTGCATAAACCTTAATTTCTGACGCTGGGGCCGAACTCCGGGGCGTCGCAGCGCGCAATTCCGCCACTTGGCTGGTTAATGTATCGATTACTTGTCTCAACTCTTGTTCTCTTTGTAAATTCGCGGCGACCTGTCCGGCCAGGCCGTTGTCAATAGCCGCCTGCACTACTAATCTAAGCTGTTCAGGATCCATGAGGTCTACCGTTTTGCCCGCTGGGGAGTTTCCGCGCGTGTTTTTTGGAGTGGAAGCTCGAAGGAGTTCTTCACTATCTGACCCTGAATCGCTAGCGTATTGCTTAACGCTTCTATACTTAGAAAATGGCGAGCTCATATACGCACATAAAAGGATTAGAAAACGGGGACACAAAGCCGCCAAAATGAGAGCTCGTATAATTCACCTAGTTAATTTTAAGGGTAGTAGATACCTGTGCCCTTGCATAAAAATTAGTGTAGTGTTAAATGTATAAAAATTATAATATTGAAAATTATAAGAGATATAGGGTAAATAAGACTGACACACAGCCTCGACTCATAGTCAAAATATTCCAAATAAGAAAAATTAATGAATTTAACGTAATATTTTACATATTTTATTTTTGTTAATCAAATCCCGAATTTTATCGGGCTCGGAGTCGCTTTACTCTCGTATTATTTTTTATTAATCAGTTCTACTCTGCAGACTGGTTAGAAAATATTTGAATGGGGTGCACTTACATTTTATGTACTGTGGTTTCTTCCTCAAAGATAAAATTTTTCCTCCAAGAATGTAAAATTATCTAAGCGAAACCGTTGGGTTTTTATCGTTGAGCGCCAATTAATATGGTTGTGTGCGCGGCCTGAGGTGGTCCTCGATGGTCGCACTGTCTAGGGTGGTCTTCTTGGAGATGAATTAATCTGGTTGATGGGCGCGGCCTGAGGTGGTCCTCAGGGGCCACACTATTTAGGGTGGTCTTCTTAGAGATTAATTAATCTGGTTGATGGGCGCGGCCTGAGGTGGTCCTCGGTGGCCGCACTGTCTAGGGTGGTCTTCTTAGAGATGCCCGCTTGTGGGCGCGGGGGAAGCGGTCGCTTTTGGGAGCGCCCGTTATAGTCAATTGGCAGCCAGCAGCTAGTGGTTGCCCCCCTTGGGTGCGGGGGAATGCGTTCGCACTCACACGTGAGGGTAGGCCGCTGGAAGCTGCTGCTTGTAATTACCTCCCGTAAACGCGGGAGGAATTTGTGTACCGCTGGTCGCACCTGCTGAAGCCCGCTCGGTAGTGCGGGGGAGGAGGGGGCCTTGACTTGGTACTCGTATGTGGAGATCGGGGATCCCTTGCTGCAGTCAGAGCCGGATGGCTGTGCCTTCACAATTGCTGATTAGGTTGACTTATGTTGGGAGGTAACTGCCCCCTTCGCCTGCTGGCCTAGAGACTCAGTCAGTGCAAAATAATAAGAGATATTTAACGGCGGTTGCCGGAGTTTTTCAATACTATAGAACTTGTGTTCTTTATTCGTACAGAGCATGAAGCGAACTAAAATTAAAGTTGACAAAAATGAAACTCATAGCGGCCACGCAAATATGCTGTGTTTGCCGGCTATGCACGAGCATCCGGCCAAAAGCCGCGTCAGCGCTTTTGACCGCAGCTGGGCCTCGGACATTCGGTCATCGCCTCCGTCCGGTTAGCTACTCAGTTAACTTGTATGCTCCTTTTAAGGAGCCATCTGCTCAACCTCTTGTGTGTATTGGTTTGCAGTTTTTTTGCGTTGCTGTAGGTTCATCAGTTTTGCTGACAATACTTCTACAGTTTCGGCCTTGACGTTGCCTTTTTGACTAGAAATCTCCTCGGAAACCATTGTTTCGTTTCCTATTAGATTTCTAGCGGCACCCTTTCGTTTTGTTTTGATTATGGAAACTGCGACTGGCGACTGCCATGAAATATATAACAAATTTGTTGTACTTTGTTTATTCTTTATTTAAGGGAGCAGCAGTGGTGCCGATCCAAGGCTTCAATTGATTATCTTTTTACAATATTCTTTTTAGTCCAATTAAGGCTCAGTCTCGTTCCTACGCTGCTCGCAGGCGTCGGCAGAGAGACGGCTATCTATGAACTTATGTATATAAACATATTCCCTCTTATGTGAGGAGCGCGACGGGTATGCACATGCGGTCCGTTCATGCAATTATGCCGACGCTAGCACTTTCTGCGTGTGGCCTAAGCCATAGTGATCGGTTCATATATCGGCCACTTGGGGTTTATGACCGGGACCATGAACCCGGACCACATACCCTTAAAGAACTCGGTATAGTGGGTATTGAATATTAGTGCATACTGTAAATCAAAATATTTATACTATACTCATTATATAGAAAAATCGCATAATAACTTATGTTTACTGATCGCATCTTACGGCACGAACATCTTATAATTGTATTAACGACCCTTAAATTATTTTTATACAATATTTTCAACTATTTCGCAAAAAAAAGATCCCATTCGTATATGAGGCATCCATTCAGATTAGTTAAATAATATTACAAATAACCTATTTTTGATCAGTGCATAGTTGACATATAGCTTTGGAATTTCTAATATGTGTAGCCATATATATCGAAAACTGTGATTTGCAGCCCTACATGAATATCAAAAACTAGTCTGCAGAGTGGCAACTCTAGGAAGCAAGCCTTCTTTCTTTCTTTTCTCTACTTTGCAACCGCGTGGTTATCAATTTAGGTTAGTGATATTATTTTGTCGGTTTATATGTAAATAATAATGCATTAGTATACAGAGTTTGTAATACAATCTGGTGTATGCCATTACACAGAAATTTTCTAAAACTGTTAAATTTTGCAGAAAATGACCAATTCGAAGGGCTATCGACGCGGCACCAGGGATATGTTCTCCCGTCCTTTTCGGAAGCATGGTGTCATCCCGTTATCCACATATATGCGTGTCTTTAAGATTGGCGACATCGTAGACATCAAGGGCCATGGTGCTGTTCAGAAGGGTTTGCCCTATAAGGCTTATCACGGCAAGACCGGTCGCATTTTCAATGTGACACAGCATGCAGTTGGTGTCATTGTAAACAAACGTGTGCGTGGAAAGATACTTGCAAAGCGTGTCAATGTGCGCATAGAGCACATCCACCATTCCAAGTGTCGAGAGGATTTTCTGCGTCGCGTAAAGGAGAACGAGCGGCTATTAAAGGTGGCCAAGGGCAAGGCTGAATGGGTCTGCCTAAAGCGTCAGCCGGAACAGCCGAAAAAGGCTCATTTCGTTAAGAAAATAGAGGAACCGATTGCTCTGGCTCCAATTCCATACGAATTCATTGCCTAATGGAGCTTGTTGCTTTGAAAATGTCTTGATGGTGGATCAGCTGTAAATGAAATATTTTCCTTTAATGATTGCTGTAAAGAATTCATTGCGACCTTATTGTCTTATGTCTGGATTTCGGGAGTAATTAAAGCCTTTTTAAGTGCAGTTTTGATGTTTTAGTTATGCACTAGCATGGGATATACAGTTAACTAAAAAAGTATTCAACACGAGGGTGCCTGAAAAAAAGTGGCTATTTTTATTACTTACAGTCTGCACATAATTTATTCGTACACCCATGAGTTGCAAGTTTATTGCCTAATATCTCGAGAAATACGTAACGGTTAAAATGAAAGATACACATTTCGAGAATATATTTTGAACAGAGAGAATATATATTAAACAATAATTTTTGTGCGTAAAAAATGACTTTGTGTTATTAAGGAAATTATGTAGTATTAAAGTTAAAACTTGTTAATTTAATGTTTAACATATATTCTCGAAATGTGTACCTTTCATTTGAGATATTGCATTTTAATTTCCGTTACGTATTTCTCGAGATATTAGGCAATAAACGTGCAACTCATTGGTGTACGAATAAATTATGTGCAGACTGTATGCTTGCGAACTTTGGATATGTTATCGGTTCCAAGTTACTTTTAAAAAGTTTTAGGAGTATGGACTAGAATCTCCACTCTAACAGGTATTTATTAAAGCCATTATCGCCATATTTACAGGTAATAAAACTAGATTTTTATTTAAATATTGGTCATATATATAATTAAAGATTTCGGTTTAATGTGTTAGAAAAAATATTATTTTATTTTTCCCGTTTCACAATATTAAACGGGTTCTTACTTAGTTGAAGTTCACTGGCTTATCTTTCTGAACCCTCAAACTGAACTTAATTATTCTAAGAGTTTCTTATACACATAATTAAATCTCGGTTAGGAGCTTTAGGTACTCTAAGACTTTCTAATAAAACTTTCCTAATTTAAGTTTATTTTCCCTGGTATACAATATTCTCTTTTCAAATGCCCGTAATAAGAAAATTTTTTCGTGGAAAATTTGAAATGGATTATTTCGCCTAAATTGAGTCTGTGTTTATGCGTCTGGTCTGTAATGAGACTTTTGTTTTTCAGACTGGTCGTGGAAAATTTGGGACTGACTAGTCTGAGCCTGTGTTTATGGGTGTAGTCTTATATCTTTTCGAAGTTTTTTCCAGCGAGTCTAATATTTTTTCATAATTCCCTAGTTTTTGAGTCGTATATCTAGCAAAAATCAACTCATTTTCGATTCATATTTCTAACAAAAAGTTATTCTTTTTCGAGGCATATATAATCAAAAATAATTTTAATATTTAATAAGTTTTTATATGCTTTTAATTCGCATCTGGCCACCGTCCACTCAAAAGCCTACAAAGCTCGGAAAACTAAACATGCTAAGAATTTAAAACTGCGTATAAAAGCTAAAAGAAAGTTAGAATCAAGCATAGCTATTCTATCCACCTTATCGCGCTATATGCGGAAAACTGTGGCGTTAATAATATTAAATTTTTTTTTTTTTTTGACCTTGTATAACAATTTTAGCCAATATCTAACAATGGACCAAAAATGTTTTAAATCTGAACTTTATTATGTAGGTTATAAGGTTTCACATGTGCAGGGACGTAACCATCAGTTGTTAAACATACTTATGTATATATATTTCTGCTGGTAATTTTGAATTTAGATAAGACAGTTACGGGTATCTTATAGTCGCGGGACTTGACTAACACGTTACTGGTTTTTCTTTGCAAGAAGTCAGGCCCTACATATTTGTAACAGAGACAACTGAAGCTTTAAGGAAATTGTATTTAACAATAACATAAGTTAGCTAAATTAACCAGACAATAAGACTGCGACAATGCAACGGAATCTTTGCTGGCCCAGCATTGGACTGTTAACTTGCGAACAGGCGGCTGACTCATCATATTTGCTTAGCTACTGTGAGAAGTTTTTTCACGATATCAATCCATAAGTAATTAAATATATTAATTAGCGGTCAACTAATGGTTCTTTCCCACTATAAAAAAGAAAGCAATTTTTGACGAATCCAATACAAGTAGAACCCAAATAAAAACGTGTTGCTTGCTAAAGAGAAAACCGTTAGGCACACAAACGCTTCAAAAACGATACAGTGAAATGAGGCCATGTTTGAGAGCAGCGCTCTTCGAGTAAGAACCTGCCTGTAATCTGCAAGTAGTGACGAAATCTTTGGATGAGCATTTGCTGGCACAATTAAGTGGAAATTTGCCACCGACACTCGGCGTCCATTGTGCAAACGCGCAACCTGTCACACGCACATATACAATAGTTTATGTTCATTCGCCACGGTGCCTTCACACAATTTTGAGGTATCTACACCATCGCCCCAATCATATGGAATGGCGACGATGAGCATACCTGGATGGACACCACGTGGATTTCCTGATCTTCCCGAGTTCTTGGGTCATCCAGAGGAGTTTACAATATTCCTATGCGCGTTCACGGAGAGAATGGCACCTTAGCAGTGCACAGAATTGGAGAATAACTAGAGGCAGTGAAAGCCGTGTAAGGCGAGGTCCGAGCAGCAGTGAAGTCCGGTATGGACGTCCGGAGCTACTGATCCGTAGCTAACTGGAAAGCGTGAGTTACTTTCTAAAGATGAGAAGGAAGAACTGGAATTAAGGAACATGGATATAATATTAGTGTAAGTTAAAACTAAGGCAAATAATAAAGATGCAAAAAAAAAAGTCGATAAAAATCGATAAGGAAAACAAGGGATTGCACACAAAATACTAATAATACTAATACCAAAAAATATAATATAGAGTTCCAAATAAAATAAACGAATATATTTTTGACGTCAGTTTTCCTGTTTTCCTAATTTTAGTTATATTATATTTTGAATGTTAAAATGGTGTTTAATTCAAAGCAAAAACTTTAAGAAAAGATTTTGTACTCTTTCATTAAGAGAAACATGCATTTAGTCAGGTAGTACCTCGCAACGAATACTTAATTGACTAACTGTATGTACATACACCGTATGTACTTGACATTGAACTTTAACTATGCATATGCATATGTTTTCGGTTCCAAGTTACTTTTAAAAAGTTTTAGGAGTACTAGACTAGGAGACTAGAATCTCCACTCTGAAAGGTATTATATATAGTCGCCATATTTACAGGTAATAAAACTAGATTTTTATTATAATATTGGTCATAAATATAATTAAAGATTCCAATTTCACAATATTAAACGGGTTCTTACTCAGTTGAAGTTCACTGGCTTATCTTTCTGAACCCTCAAACTGAACTTAATTATTCTAAGAGTTTCTTTTATAATAAAACCCGGTTAGGAGCTTTAGGTACTTTAAGACTCTCTGATAAGACTTTCCTTATTTAAGCTTATTTTCCCTAGAATACAATATTCTCTTTTCGAATGCCCGTAAAAGGAAAATTTTTTCGTGGAAAATTTGGGATGTATTATTTCGCATGAATTGATTCTGTGTTTATAGCTCTGGTCTGTAATGAGACTTTTGTTTTTCAGACTGGTCGTGGAAAATTTGGGACTGACTAGTCTGAGCCTGTGTTTATGGGTGTGGTCTTATATCTTTTCTAAGTTTTTTCCAGCGAGTCTAATTTTTTTTCATAATTTCTCGTTTTTGATTCGTATATTTAGCAAAAAGCAGTTCATTTCCGAGTCATATTTCTAACAAAAAGTTATTCCTTTTAGAGACATATGTATAATGCACAAAGCGTCTTTTGTGCTGCACAAGATATCAGGTTGGGGGGTGCATAAACTAATTACAATCTAAAAACTCAGGCGAGAAAAAGACAACCGTTTTCCAAGATCTAACATCAGCAACTGCCTTTTATTAGCAGCGGCAAAATAACATAATGTTCTAACAGAGTAATTTACAGAGATTGGTTAATACATGTTAATAAGCTTTGTTTACATTTGTATCGGCAAAGAGAAACAGTATGTAAGACGAAAAATATTGTGAGTTTGACCGAACATCCCGGCCGCCTTGAAAGTATCATCTTTCAACAAGATTGAGAGTCCGTGGGTAATACTGCCAGCTTATGCACTGGTCGGCAGCACACCCCAGTGCTGGTTCGAATGTGGGCCACTCGAACTAGCCCATCCTTTCCGGGAACAACGCTCTCGACGCGCCCGATCTTCCATCGCTGAGGAGGCAGATTGTCGTCGTGGATGATGACCATGGTGTTAGCCCTGATGTTGGCCGATGGTGTTGTCCATTTGGTGCGCGAGCGTAGTTCCTGTAGGTACTCAAGCGACCACCTTCGCCAAAACTGTTGTTTGCTCGCGGTCACGGCGTCGAATCGTTCCAGGCTGGACGCATGTGTTGATGACACAGTCCGTTCTGGAAGGGCACGAAGAGATTTCCCCACCAGGAAGTGGCCCGGAGTAAGTGCCCCAAAGTCGTTGGGATCTGGAGACAGCGGAGACAATGGGCGCGAGTTGAGAATCGCTTCGACTTCAGTGGTTATGGTGCAGAGCTCCTCGAAGGTGAATCTTGAATTCATCAGTGTTCTGTAGAGTAGACTCTTGGCGCTTTTTACCGCCGCCTCCCAAAGGCCTCCAAAGTGAGCAGCTCTAGAAGGGATGAAATGGAAAGTTATGAAATCAGTTGACAAATAAGACGAAATGACTTCTTGCGTGGCTTTGTCTTGAAGGAACGCTCGTAGTTCTTGAAGATGGTTGGCAGCTCCGACGAAATTGGTTCCGTTGTCGCAGAAGATGTCGGTTGGAATTGACCGTCTGGCGATCATCCGTTTAAGTGCTGCAAGAAATGCCTTGGTTGACAAATCCGAGACGACTTCTATATGGACGGCCTTGGATGCCAAACAAATGAAGACGGCGAGGTAGGACCTTGTTGGACCCTTTCCTCTAATGCGAAGATATGTGTTAAACGGTCCGCAGAAGTCGACGCCACACCTTTGGAACGGCTGTTGCGGTAGCACTCGTTCTAGTGGTAGCGATCCCATGAGTTGGTTCTCCAGTTTGGGTCTGAACCGAACGCAGGCGATACAGGAACGCACCACTCGACGAGCCAGGTCCCTGGCGTTGATGATCCAGTATTCCAGACGGATTAGCGCGACTAGAGCTTTCGGGCCTGCGTGA